GTTCAGACGTGTGCTCTTCCGATCTCCCCCAAAACCCCAAAACCCCTAGCTGTTGAAATAACTTTATAAATGGATTATAAATATATATTTATCGAGTGAAATGAAGAAGTAATAAATAGCAGAGACTTTTATTAATAATAAATTTATTACCTGATAAAGTTAATCATTGATTTGTATATTTGAGTATTAATGTTTTAGTATTTTTATGGGCATCTGAGCCAACTTTAAAATTAAAAATAATGAAATCTTTATTCACCCTCTCATTTATAGACTCGGAACTTTTGAAGTTGTACATGACTACTAGATAACGTGATGTTGTCAAGATCAGCCTTATTATTTGGCTTTGTAGGATTGTTTTATTTATTGGAAATATCATTTCCTCTGCTACACACCAGAGGGCCTTTGTACCAGAATAATGGATATAGAGATCAACGAGTTGCTTTATCCATTTACTACTGATAGCTATGACATATAAATTTTAGAAAACAGTAGATTTCCACGCTCCTTTACTAGTTATGACTCAAATCTATAATCTCTATTAAGTTGGAACTAGCAATGCCAAAACAGATAATATTGCCCTTGTTAATAATATAGTTGGATTTAATTTTTTCATGCTATCAGGTCTCCTTACTAGTAGCAAATGGTATTATACAGCAGTTGGATTCGCAAGCAGTATGCTTGCCACAATACTGTTTTATTCACTATTTGTTGGCATTGAGGAAGTACCTACTCTAATGTAATTTGTTGTCACCACATCAATCGTTGCATATTCTTCTTACATGATAGAATATAGAACAAAAATGGAATTATTATAAATTGTGCAAGTCAAAAGAATGAATGAAGAACTATAAGGTATACTCATGAATTTTCCAGAAGGTATAATACTCTACTCACAAGACAATGGAGAAGTAATACTTGCTAATAAAGAAATGAAAAGGATCTTTAAGTGCTAATCAGATTAAAATGAAAAAAACCTAGTCAAATAGAAAATAAATTAAAACCTACTTCTGCCTGTTAATCTTCTCAATTAATAACAATAATTAGCAACCGAAGGAAAAGAACTAATGAGGAGCTAGCAAAAAGTAAGTATGATTACAGCAGCTTAAAACTATGAAGAGGGTCAATGCTTCTAAATGGATGAGATTTTAAATCCTATAAGGGAGTCTAATCCTGTTTTTGAAACATTTCAGGGTAGCAATATTAATTAAGATATGTCTTAAGATAATAGTTAAGAATTAATAACAATTAAAGAAAGCAAGATTCTCTATGAGAGTAAAAATCTCAGTATGATAATGGTAAAATGCATGACTCCTCTAATGCGCTATGAGAAGCTTAAACTTGAAAATCACTTCTATGAAATGCTGACTGCTACAGTTTCTCACGATATGAGGACTCCATTAAATGCGATGTGTGGTCTATTATCAAATATAGAGCCTTTTATTGTTTATGAGGTGGGCCAGAAACTTCTACGAATAGTTAAAAGTTCCAGCAAAATATTACTTTTTCTGGTAAATGATTTACTTGATTTCTAACAGATTAAGAATGGAAAGTTTAGAAAAAATGAGATGCCATGCAACATAAAAGATACCATAAACGAGGCGATTGAGATTATCAAATTGGCGATTGAGGAAAAAGGACTTACTCTAAATTTCCATATTGAAAATAATATACCAGAGGAACTAGTTACTGACTCTCAAAGAATAAATCAAATATTACTTAACCTTCTCTAAAATGCATTAAAGTTCACTCATAAGGGAGAAATAAATCTTTTTATTAAATACGATGCTGTTTATAACAAGCTCTTCTTTACGGTCAAGGATTAAGGTATTGGAATTAAGCATGAAGACAGAAAAAAACTATTCACTCTATTTGGTAAACTAGAGTCAACTGCTTCTATCAATACTTCAGGAATAGGTCTAGGACTTAATATTTGCAAGATGATAGTCGAGAGTTTTGGGGGCTAGATTTATATTGAAGATAACAAAGGGGAAAGTGGTACCTCTTTTACTTTTACTATCTAGTGTAAAGGAGATATAAGCAATGTAGATTTTGTGAGCTATCTAAACACCTAGAGATCAAATACATCTTAAAATATACTTTTCACAAACATAGATCAGGACTTGATTGATCACTGCCAGGTAGGCCTTGAGATAGAAAAATACATGAATTAAGAAAAATGTGACGTATCTATCGACTCCGAGAATTACTCTTCAGTGAGAAAATTAACTGATGTTGAAGTTTATTAACCTTCAATTCGCTAGTTGAAACTAGAAAAAATATAATAATGTCCATGTCAATAAAGATAAGATATTTTGGTAGTTGACGATAATATTTTTAATGTAGTGACTCTTCAAACTATTTTGGAATTTTAATTCAACTTGAAATCAGATAAAGCAATGAATGGTTTAGATGCTTTAAAAAAAGTTGAGGAAAGAATTAATTTGTAGCAAGACTCCCCCTGCTTCTGCAAATTGTAGAGGAAAAATTATAAGTTAATATTTATGGACTGTAACATGCCAGTTATGGATGGCTTCTAAGCGACAGAGTAAATAAGACTGCTTCAAAATCAAACAGATGTTAAAATTAAGATTATCGCATTAACTGCGTACACCACAGATAATTTTAAAATAAAAAGTTCGGAAGCAGGAATGGATTCCTTCATAACAAAACCCATCTAATGCGAAATTATAAAAGCACTACTCATTCAAGATGGCTTTATTTAAAATTGATTATTTATTTAAACTTTTAAATTTATTTTTTAATTACTAAATTAATTTAAAAATCTTAACTTCATGGGGTTTTGGGGTTTTGGGG